GGGGTACAGACCCAAACGAAACGTTCGACCAGCTTAGGTAGGGCCCAAACTAGTCCCACGACCACTAATGATTACAGAGCCAAACCAAGGCAATATATATACACAGCCCAGGTGTGAATGCAAATAGTTGAATACAAGCTATGCGGCCGGTTCCAGTAGATACAGAGAATATTTTGTCATTCTTAACGCGTCCTACAAAATTCTTAACGAGACAACACTAGTCCGTGAATTTGTGAACAAGATCGGAGATCTAAAGATGCAATCTCTACCGTGCATCAATGGCGACGCTGGATCTCAATAGAGATTCTTAACTAATATAAAAGTTTGAAAGGCAAATGGGAAAAACCCATAAAATATAATATATTTTAACGAATATTTCGTCCTCTACCTACGGACTTCATCAACATAACTGATTTACATTGCACAGAGCTAAATAATAAAACAATAAAGGTGATAAAAATAGTTATTTAAATCGTTAGTTTCGTTTAAGGCGTTAGTTTAAAATGATTAATGTATTAACTGGGAAGTGTATATGTGTATCACTCTCAGTACATAAATAAACAGGATAGACTATAGTATACTATGCATTTATACGTATAACTATAGGATAAATCTAGTGAAGGTATAATTATGAACAACATCTAGATTAATATGGTAAGACAATAAATGAATTCCTATAACATGGTATCAAATATAAGGTACAGAAAATCATACGTATGGTGTATGTCAAACATACACCATACGTTACATTGTTAATCATTTTAAACTGACACCCATTGATTAAAATAACTATTTTTATCACCTTTATTATTTAGCTGCTCTAGCTTATTTAGTTAGAATTATATAGCACCTCACAACCTCGAGTTCTGGGGTGCATTATAATGGACTATAAAAAAATACTAAATTCAAACATTGACAGAAAAAGACATAAGAAACTTGGAATGCCAGTCTGTAACTGTTTACTGCCTCCATAAAAAAATAACCCTCATGCCGGACCACCTACAGAAGTGTGACCACAGTGCAGAGTTCCAACTGATATTTGGTGAGGCGTAACACTAAATACAATACTAAGCATATGCTTGTAATCATTGTTTATTGTGCTTATAAGCATGTGTGTTTGTACACATGTGATAACGTAGAAGAAGAGACTACCACGCTAGATTGGAACCTCCGTGCTTTTCCCTGGTGATACCGCAGCTTTCTTGCTCTCATTAGAGTTACGCATAACCAGTGGCGGCTCTAGGATTATTTTCTGGGGGCTGAGCTGTCCGACAGGGGGACTTGGGCTCGTAGGCCCGAGCTGGGGGAAGGGTGTTTCCCTCCCAACTGAGATTTTTTTAAGAACAGAAACCTCTGGGTGGCCAGAAATGACACTCTCTGATTGTGACAGACATGTGTTGGCTTGGCGTGGGCCTATTTTTTAGTCCGACTGCCCGACGAGCTCTGTCAGATGGGGGTCTTTAAGTCCCCCTAAGTCCCCCACCCCGAATGGCGCCGCCACTGCCCATAACATGAGAGGTTAAGAACTACATCAAGCCACTTAACCAGGCAGACGTTTTAACCAAGCTGTACTCACCGATTACGTTGATCTTGCTAAAAATAGGAGAGAAAAAACAGAGGGCGCTATGGTAGATGAACTCTTTGGATCGCATGGAGGTAAATGGAGTCTAGTGTTAACATTTTTAAAATAAAGTTGTGTTTCTTTCAAATTAGGTCTATGTGTTAGAAAATAAATTGTATCACAGACTTCTTCATTCAGGACATTTAGCGGTTCAAGCGAAACATAAAATATAAGTGCCAAAATGCGGATGCAGGGGGATGCAGAGGGTACAATCGCACCCCGCCCCCTATATTGTATAGAAAAATAAGTGTTGTAGGCCTACAGATTATATTGTTGATTTGAATTATTTGTAAGATTTTTAAGGTATGAGAGTGCAATTTCCAAGCACCTAGAGGTTCATATTCTCAAAATGTTCGCATAATTTTCGCATTGTGGTCTCTCATGGAAGTAGATCATGGGGGAAGGGGACACCTCCCTCACTTTCGTACGTCAAGAGGATATGCCTGAAAATTGTTGAAATATTGCATACCTAAATGACCTAGGTTTTAACGAAAGAGCGCTCTACAGCCAGAATATATCTTATTTTATAGCAAGCTGCCACAAACATCTGAATTACATATAATAGGCCTACGCGACTCGAGTGCGCGTGCCTTTAAGTTTGTTAAGTATGAGAATAAGCGTGCAAAGAAAAGATTGTTTTTCGGCACATGAAGTAGATAAAGTAAAGTAAATACATAAAAGGCAATAAAGTTTTATTTTCTATGGTACCGGTACATCACAGCGATTATATCACAGAAATTAATTAATTTCACAGTGATGAATTTTACTATAAAAGAGTGTCATATCCGGCAATTTAGAGGTACAATTTCCCCAAATTTTACCACCTCAGAGCCCACCACAGGCGCGCCGGGCCCTCCCCCCCTTAATCCGCCCTTGTGAATGCATAACCAATGCCGTAGCCAGGATTTTTAAACAGTGTTTGACAATCATGCAGGGTGGACCCACTTTACGCGTAAATTAAAATAATGTGGCATTTTCTTAAAAGTTGTCCCATTTTACACAAAAATATGAATAATCTGGACCAATTTTCTTCAAAATTTACCCACTTTACGCAAAATATGAGGAACCTGGACCCATTTTCTTAAACTTTGACCCATTTTACACAAAATATGAGAAATCTGGACCCATTTTTAAAATGGGGACGCATTCTTTGTGGACCAATAGACAAATTGTTTGGGACTGTCCCAACTGTCCCAATAGCTGGCTACGGCATTGTGCATAACCTGTCTCTTATACACATCTAGTTACGCATAACCAGTGGCGGCTCTAGGATTATTTTCTGGGGGCTGAGCTGTCCGACAGGGGGACTTGGGCTCGTAGGCCCGAGCTGGGGGAAGGGTTTGAGAGTTTGAGAGGGTGTTTCCCTCCCAACTGAGATTTTTTTTAAGAACAGAAACCTCTGGGTGGCCATAAATGACACTCTTTGATTGTGACAGACATGTGTTGGCTTGGCGTGGGCCTATTTTTTAGTCCGACTGCCCGACGAGCTCTGTCAGATGGGGGTCTTTAAGTCCCCCTAAGTCCCCCACCCCGAATGGCGCCGCCACTGCCCATAACATGAGATGTTAAGAACTACTCACCGAGTCACCGATTACGTTGATCTTGCTAAAAATAGGAGAGAAAAAACAGAGGGCGCTATGGTAGATGAACTCTTTGGTTTTCGGCACATGAAGTAGATAAAGTAAAGTAAATACATAAAAGGCAATAAAGTTTTATTTTCTATGGTACCGGTACATCACAGCGATTAATTAGATTGACGATGATGAATTTTACTATACAAGAGTGTCATATCCGGCAATTTAGAGGTACAATTTCCCCAAATTTTACCACCTCAGCGCCCGCCACAGGCGCGCCGGGCCCTCCCCACCCCCTTAATCCCCCCCTGTGAATGCATAACCAATGCCGTAGCCAGGATTTTTAAACAGTGTTTGACAATCATGCAGGGTGGACCCACTTTACGCGTAAATTAAAATAATGTGGCATTTTCTTAAAAGTTGTCCCATTTTACGCAAAAATATGAATAATCTGGACCAATTTTCTTAAAAATTTACCCACTTTACGCAAAATATGAGAAATTTGGACCCATTTTCTTAAAATTTGACCCATTTTTCACAAAATATGAGAAATCTGGACCTATTTTTAAAATGGGGACGCATTCTTTGTGGACTAATAGACAAATTGTTTGGGACTGTCCCAACTGTCCCAATAGCTGGCTACGGCATTGTGCATAACTGTTCTTGTTTTAGATATTAACTGCATGTAGGCCTACCTTATGGGAAATGTTACATCTTTACTTACACACTGTACTTACTGAACTGAAATTTTCTAAACACACTTCTGTTCTAGAGCGCCAATAAGTGGTATTTATTTAACTTTGTTTATTCCTTTATAAACTGATAGCGTACCATACAGTACATATGCATCCAGCATTCTACTGTACAGTATCTTCTTTCACTTATAAATATTGTACTAATAAAATTAAATTAACTTTAAACCAAAACAAAGGTATCGCTTTCTTACACACTCTACTTACTGAACTGAAACCTTCCTTAACACACTTCTTTTCTCTAATACACGACGACAAGCGCCAATAAGCGGTATTTATTTAACTTTGATTATTCCTTTATAAACTGATAGCGTACTGTACCATACATATGCATCCGGCATTCTACTGTACAGTATCTTCTTTCACTTATAAATATTGTACGAATAAAATGAAATTAACTTTTAACCAAAACACAGGTACTGTAGTGCTTTCTTACACACTCTACATACTTTTATACGCGACGTAGAGCGCCAATAAACGGTCTGTTTAACTTAGTTTATTCCTTTATAAACCATAGCCGTCTGAAGCATTTTGCAAGTGGCCCGGCATTATAAGAGCGCGATGGGGGAGAGTCATACCTACCTCAGCCCTAACATGGTTGGGCTGAGGTGCGAAAATTTGAGGAAATAGTAACTCTAGATGGCAGAAAATGACTATAGTAAAATTCATCATCACGTCACCATTATAGTCAAAATGAAGCGCCAACTAATTTCTCATGTACTTTTATTATCGATTATCAACCATAGAGATAATTAGTATGTGTGATGAGACCATAGAAAATAAGACTTAAAACACCGTCTTTGATGTATCTACTTTACTTTATCGACCATTAATACATTTGTGTCACATAACAGCCTATACTGATTCTATCGGACTCGTTTTTTAAAGTCGATTCTTATCCTACAATCATCAACATAATAATAATAATAGTTATCGACAACATCATCCCCACCATCATCATCATCATCAACATCATCATCATCAACCTCAATATCATCATAACCACCACCATCATCACTATTATTATTATTATTATTAATAATAATATCATTATTATTATTGTTATTATTATTATTATTATTATTATTATTATTATTATTATTATTATTATCATCATCATCACCCTCATCATCCTCATCGACACATCGTCATAAAGGAATGGCGCATTTGAAAAAGAATAATTAATTGTCTTTTAACCACTCCAGGTGGCGTTTTACATATAAACGTTACTCAATGGACTACGAAGGAGACTTTACAATTAATAACAAATGTGAGTACAGTATTGAACATTCATTTTGCATCGATATTTCACTAGTTAAATGGGAATTCTGTCATCATTCTATGGTTATGATTTTGACTACGTTTGTTAGGCAGCCGCATTGAATGCATTGACAATTTCCTCGACAGAAGCATTAACTGACATGCTGAATTCTATTCAACAACATACAAGTGACTCGCTCAAACCACCAAAGACCTGAAACTGGCTAAAAAACGTTATTTACAGTAATTACAGCTTGGGGCTTGTTAACTTCCGTTTCTTGTTTACATTGTAGATTCGTATCTGTTTTTTTTTTTCATTGACAATATATGCAATTTATTACCAAGAGCCTATAATTATCTGGTACACAACTTTTAATCCCGAATAATCGAAATTTGTTATAGCCCGACAAAAATATTTATATATATTATTTTTAGAGGACAGCGAAAGTGATCAGGGTAGGCCGAAATGACACCGTCTTTATCAATATTGATAGGCCCTATTAACATCTTAATGGATGTGTACTTCCATGATGTCGATATCAAATAAAGCTACTAGTGCTGTAGTGACGGATCCAGAAAATTCGAAACAGAGGGGATCCAGGGAGACTTTCACATATGGATTTATGATTATGTCACCTCAATGGTCCATGCTCTATATGGCCGGAAACGACTTATAAACATTAATACAATTTTCATTTTCTTTCTCCATTTTCGATTGCTCACTTTCCCTTTTCGAACATACAGAACAGTAGCATGTATATAGGAATGTATGTAATAATAATAATAATGATAATAATAATAATAATAATAATAATTATTATTATTATTATTATTATTATTATTATTATTATTATTATTATTATTAATATAATAATAATAATAATAATAATAATAATAATAATAATAATAAATAATAAATAATAAATAATAAATAATAAATAATAAGAATAAGAATAATAAAAAAGTAGTGCCGGTATCCGTAGAGGAAACGCTCATGGCGCCCCTTCAAAAGAAAGTCGAACACATTTACAATACATTTAAAAAATACAGATACATTTTAAAAACCAGACATGAGCCGTACATGGCTGAGCGTCTCTCTCTCTCACTCTGTCTATGTGGCCACGTGTGCACGGATATTTTATTTATTACCAATTCGACATATAGATGATTAATATGCAATGGGTGAAATTACTTGGAGAGTGCCTAGAGCAAGACATGGGCAAGGCCCAACACTAAAGGTGGTTCACTGACCATATTATGATAAAATGTAATTCATGCATGAAAGTAAAGACAATACAAAAAAGCCTGAATTTGAAAACAATGAGCAAGAGGGCTCCCAGTTTTCAATAAAAGATAAGGCAGCAGACAATTTAACAGAAAATGGTGCTAGGAGGAAGAGTTTTCTTCAATTTAGCTGCCTTAATGAAAACAGATTTTTGAAAATAATGTAATCCTAATAGTCCTTGATTAGAGGGATCTGTGGGATTTTTAAAAAAAAGGGATAAGCCACACTTGGTAGGTCAATTAGAGGAGAAATATTTAGTAAAAAGTAAAACACGGCTAACATTTCTTCTGACCTCCAAAGGGAATAAATTAAATAACCTTAGCCTGTCCTTATATACTCCGCATATGCTGGGGCCAGATTTGGTATGCTGGGGCCAGATTTATCAAACAAGAAATCGGCTTAAAAGTCAATTTTTTTGCTTAAGTCAAATTTATCAATATTGCTGCTTAGCTCATGCTTAAAAATAAAAAGTCGACTGTAGGCTACGCATGCGCCATCTAAGACAATTTTTTTAATAAAAAAAAATTAATTAATAAATAAATAATTAATAAATAAATAAATTAATTTTTAGCTTAAAAGCTAAGATTTTGCTAAGGTGGTTTGATAATCTGCTTTAAGATATTTGCTTTAGGGACATCTTAACTTTTTTGACTTACGACATTCCATGCTGAGATTGATAAATCCCGAGTCTGGGCCCCAGTAGCACTTATAAACTAACATCAAATCCCTGTCCGACTCTACGACATTAATTTGCCGATCCAAACAAATATGTTTTGATAGCCAATCCAATTGTGGTCAAAAATCACATGGGCGAACCTGTACCATAAGATTTCTCCCCATGAACCTCATCCCAGGTATTTTATTCCGGGACCCTGAACAAGGCCCTAGGCATCCCTTTGTTTAGACCCCGATCAGAATTGTTGGACCCCCTATCAACATTTTTCTCATTTTTCCTGATTTTACGAACATTTTACGACAAAATCCTTCAATCGACAGTCTATAGAGTCTATGTATAAATAAGAATATAGCACTGGACATTCATATATTTAATTATAAGTTTGTAACTTACTTAAATATAATTATTCAGTTGTGGAATTAAATTGTTTATCTTTCAGCTCAAGACAGACAGTGTATATTTAAATTGGACCTCATTGGAAATTGGGCTGGACTTCCTGATGCTCATTACGGTAATTTTTACTTTTCTTGATCTCAATCCATTT